CAGTCATTGACCTTCCAGGTCAGGTCAAACTAAAAAATGTTGCTGTTTTGGGTCACCGTTGGATATCAAGTGCGCTGCTTATCATATACCGATGACGATGCCGTTTTCTGGTGCCAAGCCAGCTAGAACCTCTTTGTCACACTACCCGACCAGATTTTTGCTGTTGAGGTCATTTCAGGTCAAGTTAGGTCAAGGTCAGTTATATGTGTTTGTATGTCTGTGTGTGTCTGTGTGTATACTGATGTGTGCACCGATTGTTTTTGTGTCCATATTACATGAAATCATGATCTGAGAAGCTTTTACCAAAAATGCAGGCAAAAAACTTCACAAAAAGTAAATTCAGCTTGCCTAAAACGCAATTATCTTAGATGACCTAGGTTGACCTTGACCCTGACCTTGACCCCTGTACATCGTCGAACAACATGTTCCATGATAGGTGGGAGGTAAGACTGGCAAAAAAGGCCGAAATCAAGGTGTCAAAAGCTCACAAGGCCCATGGCAAACGCAAGATGTTGAGAATTGGCCATTTGGGTCATGACATGACCTGACAAACAAGGTCATATCTCCGAAACCAAAAATCACAGAAACTTGAAACTTTCAGTGGACATCAAGAAAGGATAGACGAGCAGCTATACCAAAAATCAGCTCTCTAGCTCTAAAAATGTTGAGTGCAGAGCAGAAAGACTACCTGGGGGGGGGGGGTGGCAACCCCCCCCCCATGTGCGGGCGAGGGTTAATAATGATCATAGATAATGTCTTCATGCATTTAGGCCAGGTCGGGTCAGGTCAGGTCAGGTCAGGTCAACCAGTAAGGGTTTTGCCGGGTATTCGTAGTAGGTGGCAACCGCCTCTGACAGCTTCGTAACATGTTACGAATGCACCAAAATTACTTCGTAAATGTTCAAATGGTTGCTAAATTCGAATTCAGATCCAAAAACTAGCCTAGAGACATGTAAAACTCCAAAAAAGAAAACCGAGGTCATCAAAGGTCAATGACCTGACCTGACCTCCCGGTGATCTTGACACCCACCCTAATGCATGGGAGCAACATCATATCCCATGTTTGAACGCTTGAAACCACGAAAAGACTGCAAACACGCGGCTGATGCGAGCCGACATGCGCTGAATCGCGATTCCGGCCAAACATGGTCTCGAAAGTAGTAGGTCACAGGTCAAAGGCCATTAGGGTCAGGGTCATGAAATTTTAAGGATAGGTGTAAAATTAGCGCCCCCAGGTCACGAAGTTGGTCGAAAGAGGTCATGTCGCATATCATTCGATTCGGCAGGTCTTCCTGAGTTCATTGGTAGCTTTCCTGGCTCGCTAGCTCAATTTGATCGGGAGTGATTGACGAAAAACTAAAATGACCTTGATGACGTTGTAAATGACGTCACGCAAGGTCAACATTGCAAAAGTGACGCATGTAACCTTGCAAGGAGTACATCAAATCACGATTCTGTGTGCTTGAGATAGTTGGAGATCGTTCCCGGCGCCAGAATAGCAGTTTTCATTTTTCCCCATTGACTTTTAATGGTGAGGTCACGAAAATGACCTGACCTCATATGACCTTTCGGAAAAATCCGAGATATACAAGTTGTGAGACTCGTTATGGATACTTGATCCTGCAAGTTTCATTTCCCTGTGAGTTTCCTCTGGGAGGGCGTTGTGAAGTTGCGACATCTGAAGACCGTGCAGAGGTTCACTTATAACGTCATAGGTCAGTGACCTGACCTGACTCGAAAATGCCGTTGGTGTCAAAAGGTCCGGCTTGAATCAAAGGTTAGGTATGCCAAGTTTCAGCTTTCTATCGCCAGTGTGTTAGGAGCTATCGCGGAAAAAACCCTAGGGCGGGGGGGGGGCGGCACCCGCCGTCCCCCCATCGGCCGGCGAGGGTTAAATGCATTTTCTATGCAAACGAAACTCATAATCAGGTGACAACCAAAGTATAGCGTCTTACCATACCCGTAATACTACATGCTTTCGCATGCTTTTGATCCTCCAATTCTGGATAAAACACCCCGTTTTGAAATGCCTTGGAAAAGCTCAATCACGCTGGAATGCAGCATACCAGTGCTTTATGCATTATTTTGTTGAATGGTTGAAAGATAAGGTCTTTAAAATAGTATATGGCATAGTGCGTTATATAGGCTGTGAGTTTTGCACCGATGAACTTGTGACCATGGTTTGTACCTATGTATGTATGCATAACACTCCAATGTACCTATGTACAGTCTGCTTTTCTTTTTGCTCTATCTATGATCAAAAGTTATAAGCGAAAAACATTTGACCTATTTTAGCGAAATTTTTACATTTATATCCCCCAAAAACTCCCTAAATATTGACCTAGAGCAGCCAAATTTGCACAGGGGTGAGAAATCTAGGGGGCCCACCTACCTACCAAATTTGGTGTTTCTAGGTGCCATAGGAGCCAATCGCGAGGGGGGTCGCATCGACCCCCCCCCCCCCGCCCTGCCAGGCCGTGTTATGAAAAATGCCCTGCCAGGGCGAGGGTTAAAAGTACCGCGCAAAGTGACGGTGGATCCATCAACCCTGACCGAGGAAGGGCCTGCTATAATTTGAAAGTCACCGAACCAATTGACCTGGGGAATGGACGAGGATATCCATTGTTTCGGTGACTAGCAGTCCTTCCTCGGTCAGGCTTGATGGATCCACTGTTACTTTGCGCGGTACTTTTAAGACATACTGTGCAATGACGTAAGCTTTAAAACCTACCACGTGGAGGCTTGAGATCGTAAATAAATAAATATAGATAAATACCTAATAGTATATGGTCAAATAACTAGTCTAGCGGTGACACACTTCCCTCGCCAGTATTGGTGTTTTGACAGCCGCAAACGTATAAGGGCGGGGAAAGTCCGTTGGACCCCCCTTGCCGTCTCACCCCTGATGGAGCTAGAGCTTCGCGAAAAAACGAGCGTGTTTCCCGTGACAAGAGGAAGCCGATGATACCCAATTTTAAGGTCCTAGGTCATTGGTTGACCTTTCAAGCCAGGTCATTGGCCCAAAAGTCGGAAAAATCGAGACCAGTTGGGTCGTAAAGTGTGGCTGCTACGAGGTTATTCGGGGTTCTGATCACGAATATCATGTTAGTTTTTATCACAGATGATGTCTTCATGCTTTTAGGCCAGGTCGGGTCAGGTCAGTTCAGGTCAACCAGTAGTGGTTTTGCCGGGTATTCGTAGTAGGTGTCAACCGCCTCTGACAGCTTCGTAACATGTTACGATGGCACCAAAACTACTTCGTAAATGCTCATATGGTTGCTAAATTCGAATTAAGCTAAAAAAAAACTAGCCTAGAAACATGTAAAATTTAACCGAGCTTATTTAAGGTCAGTGACCTGTCCTGAGCTTCAAGTGAACTAGACACCCACCCTAACGCATAGGAGCAATATCATATCACATGTTTGAACGCTTGAAACCACGAAAAGAGTGCAAACGCGCGGCTAAGAGGAGACGACATATACGCCAAATCGCGATTCCGGCCAAACATGGTCTCGAAAAAAAGGTCACAGGTCAAAGGTCATTTGCGTCAGGGTCATGAAATTGTTAGGGTAGGTGTAAAATTGATGAACGCGATGGTAATGAAAGTTCCGTCGCGATCAGCGAGTTTTTACACGAGTTATTATCGAAAACCGAGAGGGGGCTGTTCGACCCCCCCCCCCCCCTTATACCGGCGAGGGCTAAGGGGGAGGGGCGTTTCTCACGGTTCTTCCTACCTAAGATCATTGTTAAGATCTGAAATGAGAAATCATAAAACATGGCTCACAGCAGGGCTGAAGCGTGAAATACGCAAGCATGGCTACTCAAGCTTGATCAGCTCAACGATTAAAAAAAAAAAAGCAGTTCAGGCTCTCCGCCGATGATGACAGCCTGGTCGGGTAGTTCGCTCCGCGACAGGGTCCGTCTGCTTTGTGCGGCGCGGCACGGCGCGGCGGGGGGGGGGGGGAGGCGGCGATGCGTCTGAAAGGCGACGCTCGGACGTCCCGGGAATCACCTGTCACCATGCGGCGCGGCGGTCGGTCCCTCCGACCCTTCCCATTGTTACCTGACTTGCGGGTGCCGGTTCCCCCGGAAGGGTCACTTTGGTATGCGAAATCTTCACTCTTTAATCGGACAGGAGGGGAGCAGTAGACATTCGATGGAGTAGGTCAGCCGGGCGTAGGTCAGCCGGGCGTAGACATTCGATGGAGTAGGCGATTCGGGCGTAGGTTAGCCGGGCGTAGGTCAGCCGGGCGTAGACATTCGATGGAGTAGGCTATTCGGGCGTAGGTCAGCCGGGCGTAGGTCAGCCGGGCGTAGACATTCGATGGAGTAGGCGATTCGGGCGTAGGTCAGCCGGGCGTAGGTCAGCCGGGCGTAGACATTCGATGGAGTAGGCGATTCGGGCGTAGGTTAGCCGGGCGTAGGTCACCCGGGCGTAGACATTCGATGGGGTAGGCGATTCGGGCGTAGGTCAGCCGGGCGTAGGTCACCCGGGCGTAGACATTCGATGAAGTAGGCGATTCGGGCGTAGGTCAGCCGGGCGTAGGTCACCCGGGCGTAGACATTCGATGGAGTAGGCAATTCGGGCGTAGGTCAGCCGGGCGTAGGCCACCCGGGCGTAGGTCACCCGGGCCTGAGCCGACTGAGCGGATAGTCGGAGGAAAGCCTTGGTTACGCTCCAGCCGCGCGTGACGAGCGACCAACAAAGTCCTTCAGAAGCGCGGCCAGCGACCACCAGAAGTTTCTGATAAAATGGCCGTCGCCAACACACTGATAACACATTTCTTCTTCCACGGAAAGAATGCCACACAAGCTGGCAGATCGGTCACGTACAAAAGAAAACAGACTTCAGTGTTGACACTCTGAAGCAATTCGACAAAAAAAAAAACAAATAGCTTGGCAAAAAAGTACCGCTATCAACGGGATTTAGAGCACACGTTTGAAAACCAATGAGCATATTAATGTGAATGTACCCAGAGATAAGTAGCTATTGGTCCCACCTCGAGCTGCAGCTGGTCGGAGGCGGCGTGCGCGATCCGGACCACATCACCGTGACTCGAGTCCAGCACCCGGCTGCCGTTGATGGAGACGATGATGTCGCCCACCTGCAGACCTGTGGAAGACATAGGCACTGGAGTCAGAGACAGACTCTAAGTAGTATGACGTCTCATAATGATAAACGGCAGAAGAAAGCATCTAAGAGAGAATACGGGGCGACATTAGTTCAATGGCTCAGCCAGGGCCGGGTTGGACAGATTGGGTCAGACTTGACACGTGGTTTGTGCAAAGACAGAATAAGACCATCTACCATAACACACTGAGTCAGACTTGACTCAGATCGAGACGAACACTCTGAGATCGAGAATCGGCAACACTCTTCGAAGCAGATTATCAGCAGCAGTCCATGCCATGGCAGACAGCTACCCGGTTCAGCCCTGGTAGACGGCAGCACCAGAGCAGCGTTTGACGGCGACTCAGTACGCAGGCAGCGTGGCCGGGCCACGGCGCCGTACGCGAGATAGTGTGTGTGTGGTATGTCTATGTGGGAGTGAATATATCCCCCTACAAACCCTATCTGTCTCCGGCGAGCTCAGCGGCACAATGACGGGTCCGGCGCGCCGTCTCATATAGTTTGACCTGTCGCATAAACTGCTCTATCTGGCCGGCCCAGCCACGCGCAGTCGCCGCCGGCGGTCGGCGCGCTCAGTGGGACGGGACGGGACGGGACGGGCTCCGGCCAGTCCGGCAGCGGTGGCCGCTGTCGGGGCCGGCCGCACATGACATCGATCAGAGCGGCGGCCGGCCGTGCGGCGCCCGTCGGCCGGGCCGCCAGCGCCGCTGCATCTCCGGCCCGCTCAGCCGCCCCTCTGCCGTGTCACTCTGCCGCCCCTCCTCTGCTCTCTCCCCGACTCCCCGCTCTCTCCGTCCCGCGAGACACCGCCACTGACGGCGATGACGCCTGCTGATGACGTGACCGGCCGTCATCAACTAGAACACGGTCACTGGGAGGGCGGGTCTCCGCTGGGGAAGCGCCACGCCCAAACAGGCACGGACAGTGGCGAACAAAAACAGAGCCACGACCGGGACAGAATTCCGAGCGACCGGCGCGGCCACTGCGCTGGGAAATGGGGTGATGGAACGTCCACGGAACCGCCTGATGGATAGTAGGAGACCATCAGAACGGCAGAGAACAGGAACATCAGGATGTGCTTACACGCGTCATCGGTCACCTCAGTGACGCTGCGTATTACCATGACAAACATATGTCATAAAGTGATATTGAGAATATTCAGTGTCCAGTGTCCTACATCAAGGTCGACCACACAGCGTATATTGGACACTGAAACAGTGGAGCGGAGAAAGACACGGCGTCACTGACAGATTGGGAATATCGGAGCCCGCGCGAGGGAAAACTCTGTGCAGTTATTGAGTATGTACAAACGGTGAGCGCGGCCCGGCAGCTGGGAGCTGTGTGTGCCGCGGTCTCCCCCAGCTCTTTGCTCACGCCACAGTGCACACAGGCCGGTTACCTGCGCTCGGCCACCGCGGCACAGCCGGCCGGCTGGTCAGCAGCCCGGTCGGATCACCAATGTCGTGGACGGCCAGCCTGGTGCGAGTCCCGGTAATTACCCCGCCGAAAACGGCCGCCGCACCGACCACCGCTGGGCGGTAGGTAGGTCACGGCACGTGGCGTGCCGACCGACACCGACACCACAAACACGAGGCGCGACCGACCACACTCGACGGGGCGGGCATACCCGCAGCCACTCTCTATTGGATTGATGTGGTTTGCACTAGAGTGAGGCACGGTTGGCAACAGCTAACCGGCGAAAAGCGGTCGTAACCGCCCTAACTTAGCTCCGGGACCGCAAATTTGACTGCTCACAACAGAGAACAAATAAACACCATAATAGTCTGCACTCTGCAAGATACATACTTCCAAGCTACCCACTGAAACCACCTCCCACACCCCATATGTGCGTGTTTGCGTACGTTTGCGCGCGGCGGCATGGCTTACCTGACAGCTGCGCTGGCGTGCCGGGCTCGATAGCCGATACGACCACGGGTCGGGAGCCGTGGATGCGGAACCCGAACTCGCCGCTGCACTTCTGCATCATCACCGTCTTGTCGCCGGCTGTGGCATGAGGGGGACGGGGGTCAGGTCAAGTCAGGTCAGGACCAGAGTATATGGGAAACAACACGGGGTCAGGGCGCCACCGGTCCGTCATTTTCCATCCGGTCTGGACGGTCACCTTTATCCAACGTGGGTAGCTCCTAAGGAGCGACTCACGTGCGGTGGGGTGACCATTAGCAGGGCTGGTCGGCCCAAGATACCTATAAGAAACGGTCGGCCTGTCCACTGGACGGGCTCAGTCCCGGCGGCGCATCAGGACAGCCGCCCACATCAATGTCTCCCCCTATATTTCCTATCATCCCTCCGGCTCTGGGGCTCACATTCAACAAGACAAACTATGTAAAAATCGAAAAATCCTGGAAACGTTTACATTTCTTAATGAGGTTTAACAGAATCCTTTGAAGTTTTGATATTAGCTTTTTAAACCGAAGATTCTGAGTTGAAAGCTCGATTCAACATCAATCCTGGATTGAAATACAATAAAGAGATCAAACAAACCTAAAGGTCGCATGACTGAAAATAGCATGTAAGACTGTGGATTTTAGGATGAGTGCATTGCTAACGGTTTATACATAAAGGCAGCTAGCGAGACGATGGATTAGGCCTAACTGTTCAGTTCTTGCCATCACGACCCCCTTTCAAGTCATAGCCCGCTAGCCACAGTTGCCCTAATCGCCAGGACTTACATGCCACTCGCCGTGGTTTCAGCCAACTCGTCGGCTACACCTCTCAGCACCTCTCTCACACTCACCAGCTCCACGGGGAGCTAGCTAAGTAAGTGACCCACAGCCAGCCGTGCCCGACCCGGTGTCAGAGTCGTGTCACCACACTGCCACTAGTTAGTCGCGTCTGCCGCCCGACTGTACCCACTGCATACAGATAGGCCTCTGGAGACGGCGAGATGGTAGTATCCCCGCCTCTTATACATGACAGCCCACGTGACGGCGACTAATGGTGTGGGATCCGCCCTACCCTGCCCCCCCCCCCGGGCCCCGGTCGGCGCCCCCACTGGGTACGACCCCCTCCCCCAGGTTCAGCGCCCACTGGTGCACCGCCGCCAATCATTACTGCCAATCTGATAATGATCTTACACCAACTAGCGGGCGGCGGTGGATCGAACACGTCAGTGGCATCTAATCTTTGATTGGCTTACAGGCAGACTGCGCCGTGTCATAAATGATTTTACGCCGTCAGGGCCCCAGGGCCTACAGCTTATTGAGTTACGTTCGCTAACCTGCGCACAGCAAAAATATATAACGGCGGACAGTTATATAACATGGAGAAACAAAATAAATATCCACACATTCCACCCCTAAGAACTGACATCGCTAATGGCAACGTCAGCCTCAGCGCACGACGTGTTACCAGAATTACTCAGCCGCCGCCTCTGTCCGATAATTGCGGATATCTCACACTGTTCAGCAGACTGACCCTCCCGTGCGGGTCCCTCTCAGTACCTAGGCGGCGCAGCGGGCGCAGGCGCGTCTCCAGACTGCAGTGGAGCCGCGCGCAGGTGATGGCCGCCTGCCGGAGAGTGGCCTCCAGACGCTGACGGAGGGAGGCCGGCTCCAGGCCCGGGTCTGGAGAGAGAGGAGAGGAGGGACACGGAGACGGCAGAGGACGGGAGGTCACTGGGACCGATCAGGCGTGGTTAGGGTCAGCAGAACACGGACAGGTAAAATGCAATCAGGTCACAGGGGGAAGATGAAGAGAGTTATAAGGGAGGACGTTCATGATGGCGGGCACAAATTGTCCAGAGAGCTGCATCGTTCCGAAAGCCATGGAAACTATCATATCGTGTCGTGCAATACGAAGACCTCATATTCGCGGGAGATGTGAGCGAGTGTATCATTAGTAACAACGAAAATCTCCTGTCCTGAGGGAGCTCCCCAGCGTTCATTCCCAGCCATTTGGCCGAAATTGGCGGGCCGCGGCGTTGCATGTGCGTCACGTTTATAGCCGACGCCGGCGAAAGTGGGCTTTTGTTGGGAGGCGGGCCCGGCGAATCGGCACCATCAGCGTTCCCGCGAGCTCGGACGGCGGCGAACGCAGCACACACGCGAGCGGGCCGGCAAACACAAAATGTGGTAACAGCCGCGGGGCGCACAGAGTGGAACGAAGCCTATCAGCGAGAAAAACAACAATGCTGCTAAATACTGAGCTCGTCTACCGAAATTTAAGTCACATACCTAGTCTGAACTCCTTTAATTGAGTTAGATGCAAAACACGCCAGAAACTACACTCAGCCACTATCTAGCCAAGTTGCACCGTAAGCGACTATTCCATAACACAGCAGAGCGCGCCGGCATCTACAAAACGTGCCCCAAGCCGAAGTTAAATTCCAAGGCACACGCTACTCACCGAACGTGCCGCCGGCCGAGTGGGTGAACATGTGTCCGGACGACTTTCTGTGCACCATCCTGTGAGAGATGGCCTGGTAGCGCCGCCGGAACTCCCGCTCACTCTCGGTTGACTCGGTGGAGGGACACCGGGCGAGCGGTGTCGACGCAGTCGGCTCCTCTGCAACGGAGAGAGAGTGGGGTTCAGTGAGGAACGGCGTGAGACAGGCAGACGGTGAGTGAGACAGGCAGACAGAGCGGAGTTCAGGGAGGCACGGCGGAGGTCAATCAGACACTGTGGGTCAACTGGACACGCCGTGGCTCATTCAGGCAGAGCGTGGGTTATTCAGACACAGCGTCCGCGTGGGGCTTAGTCAGCTCAGGTCAGACACACCAGAAACGCATCATTGCAAAGCACGCGGTTTCAGATCGCATCAACTTCATTCGACACGTCTAAACATGCTTAATTTTCAGACAAGAGTTCTGAAATATGCCAAGTCGGCTGGTTTACCAGCCGACCCTGTGGGAACAGGCACTCAATGTCAGCAATATTGTTTCGCTAGTCGCACCGTGCACGTGTTGGGATGATTGCAACTAAACGCCGGCGTCCCCGCGGCGACGTTTGATCTTGTGCTACGGCTCTCCAAGCACCTCCCGCCTGATGTTAAAGGGACCCTCCCACCTTAACATTAGATTTGAGTTGAGATAGCCAAAATGGGGTCCCTGGCTCACAATTACCGGTTTCGGCACTCACAACATCGAGAAATGCCTTAAATCGGAGATATTGAATTTCAAAATTGCAGCATTTTGATTCAGAGGGGCTAATGCTTAGGAATACCCCTCTGAATGTGTGACGTCAGCGCAAATATCTAACGATTTTCAAATGTTTGACTAAAACGTTTTGTAGCACGCGGTGGTATATGCTATTTGCGCGCAACATCTGCCGCAAACGCCGCACTTCTAAAATAAAGTCGCTAGAAACAGCGGAGATCCCAAAAAAGTAAACAAAAGTAAAAGTCTAATATCTTGAAAACCGGTGAATATTTTTCGGTGAAATTTGGTAGTTACTCGTTTTCGCTCTTTCTGAACCGAGCGACATCACTTTCATGCCAATTCATAAACTTTTTTGAAGGTGGGAGGGTCCCTTTAATTAGTTACGCCGCGCGTCTACCTTTAGGCCGCCGAGCCAGCATAATGCAACGGTTGATCATATTAGCCCAACAGGTAATCAGTGAATGCCATTAGCGTAATCACGGGCCCACGCTAGATCGAACACTCAATGGCATTGCGCTGTGGGTACCGAGAATGAGCGGTACATGCGGTACACCGCCCTCGTGGCCCACATAGTCTCCATTAGCCTTGCATTATTAACTGAACTGGCGGGCATTGCACAGTCGCAGCGTAGGTCCTACCCACTGAACTCTATAATGGTCCTACCTGAGCGAAAAGTGGGAGGAAGTCACCAAAATGGTGTTGTCTCAAATTCAGCGCCAAATGATATGACCAAAGCCAAGATCAGGGACATCTAAGATGCCCCTCTTATATGCACTGAAACAAGTTTCTATCGACAGGATCTATTCTCTCTCAACACACCGCCACAGCAGGACGTGCGTCGTGCCCGTCGTGCAGCCTGACAGAACCTACAGTCTGCCAGACCTCCACGGGACGGAAACGGGAGCCGTGCTCGTAACAACTTCTTGATCGTAACCACCCACTGCACAGGCAAATGAGAGATCTGTCGGTCTAGACTGAATTTTCAAGAGTGCAAAAACGTTCACAATTTGATGCCTAGGTATTGCCTGCACATTGATCTAACACCATTTCTCTCCTAAAAATATGCAGGCGCCCAATAGGTGCGACGCTAAAAATGTAGCCTAGTGATGAAAATGCATTCAATCAAAATTCAAATTAGGACCACTATCAGTTTATTAGCAAGGCTACTAGGCACCTACCTGTGCTCGTTCTCGAATTCGATTATCCCACAGTGGAACTATAATGGCAGGCTTGCTAAACAGACGCGGCAGACAAAGGACAGCCAAGAGAAAATAAAACACCTACAAAGGGTGGCATATCAATGCTAATCAAGATGACATAACAAATGCATATTTCAATTTGGCACATAGCGCAAGCAGCGAGGGCATATGGAGGCCTACATATTTCTTTTTGTCACATCCTCTGTTAGCCCAAGGTCAGCCTAGCACTCACCAGTCATTGATAACCAAGTTTCCTTATCTGCTACATAACTTAGCAACACACAAGGCCGTATAAGAGGCAACACATACCACCTAACATCGCGAGCAAACACGAGACACCCACACATTCACGCGCGCGCGCAAGTTTGTGTGGTAACGAATCACAACGAATGACCTTGAAACTGACGGTCTTTGATTAGTATATCTGAAATCTTTTTGCGTCATCAAATCGGACGAATTAGAAAGCAGCCTGCCACTAAATTAGAGAAAAATAAGGACTTGCTGCGGGGTGAGACTAAATGCTTACTTCGAAATCTAAGCTGCGTTGCGGCATTGGCGGTTATGTGCGGCGTGTATGCCGCATGATTAGTAAGCGGCGACCACTAAATTAAAAGCTCAATAGCTTTGACCTGTTTTCAATGGATAACACTGCATACCAAAAATGTCCATCGCTCTCGTCATAGGATATTTAGATTTAAATAACTAACTTATCTGCATCATTGTTTTGAACCAAATTAATACCTACTTTCAACTTGACCCGCGCCAACCTGTTTTCAATGAATAACACTGCATACCAAAAATGCCAATCGCTCTCGTCATAAGATATTTAGATTTAAATAACTAAGTTATCTGCATCATCATTTTGAACCAAATTAATGCTTTCAACTTAGTACTCACTCATTCCTTCCTTCGTTGGCTCCAAACCGTCTTTCGATTGTCTGGAAATCGTATATGCCAAATCCCGCACCTGTATACGACTGGTGCATATAAAGGCCGATGTAAGAATTTCAATAGGCTCTTACATGCGATTTCCTGGCTACCCAAAAAGTCTGTTTCAGTCATGCTATCAAAACATGGTATGTCAGCCCTGTCACCAGCTTATGACTGCTCTGCTTGTAGTGGCCCTGACCGTCACCGACTCCCTTCCCTCCTTAAAAGCCTAGCCTCCCTCCATCATCTCTCCACTAGATTTAGGTGATGCTCCGACAAATTCACAAACAAGACCGAACTTGTCCGGAGTTCGGACTGTGAGTTAACCCTCGCCCTTTAGGGGGGGGGGGTCGAACGGACTCCCCTCGATTTTTCGCGAATAACTCGCGTAAAAAGCGGCCGATCACGACGTAACATTTAGTACCCTCGCGTTGATCAATTTTACTGTACACCTACCCTGAAAATTTCATGACCCTGACGCAAATAACCTTTGACATGTGACCTACTTTTCGAGACCATGTTTGGCCGGATCCGCGATTCAGCGTATGTCGGCTCGCATTAGCAGCGCGTTTGCAGTCTTTTCGTGGTTTCAAGCGTTCAAACATGTGATATGATGTTGCCTCCATGCATTAGGGTGGGTGTCAAGGTCACCTGAAGGTCAGTTCATTGACCTTTGGTGACCTCGGTTCACTTTTTCGAGTTTGACATGTTTCTAGGCCAGTTTTTCGAGCTGAATTCGAATAAAGCAACCACATGAACGTTTACAAAGTAGTTTTGGTGCCTTCGTAACATGTTACGAGGCTGTCAGAGGCGGTTGACACCTGGGGCATTCCACGTCAAATCAAACACCGAAATCCGTCACCCCCTTCGATTTTTCTGAAAATTTGTAGGCAGACTGGGCATGGTTCAAAACTGAGTTACGTATAATATTTTCGAAATTTGATAACGTATCGCTGAGATATAGGTCATCGAATATAGCGAAAAATGCCACACATCGATTTTTTAAATGGCTATATTTCTGGTTCCTTTTCTGGTATCAAAATGATATTAACAGGGTCTTATAGACAATCGATAAAGCTTTGATTTTTGATTATGAAATTAAATTGAAGTGACCTTGAAGTACATTTGACCTTGAATTAAAACAGAAAAAATTAAATAGCAAAAAACACGTCACCTTCGATTTGAGTGATTTTTACATATTATGTCCGTCACAATGTTCCTAACCATCTGTGAAAAAATTGGAGTGGGCCATTCATAACTTTCGCGGCAAACGCCGTTTTCATGCATCAACATCACGCAACCGCGCGTGACCTTGAAAGACAGAGTCAAGACATGCTTGCTTGTGCACACTTTCTGAAATGAATGATTGCTGATTAGTGCACTGGCGGATCCAGACTTGCGTTTTGGGGGGGGGCCAACTCCTGCAAGTAACCAAACCTAGGGTACCCCCAAATCCTGTTTTCTCATGGGATTTAGGCCACTTATTTTTTCGTCACAGCCCTGAAACGATATTTTTTTTTAAACTAAAAATAAATAAAAAATAGAAATGGTAGCCCACCCAACCCGAGCCTAAATATTACTTTGAAAACACTTCAAATTGCTTTTGTCGACCAATTAGCCCGCTCCGGGTCGGTGCGTGGCGCAGCCTTCGCGGGCTGGGAGGTGTCGGTTGGACCCCCTGCCGTTCGGCCCCTGATTAAGCTAGAGCTCGCGGGAAAAAAAACAGGCGTGTTGCCCGTGAGTGACGAGACGAAGCCGATGATACCCGATTTTAAGGTCCTTGGTCATTGGTTGACCTTCCAGGGCGGTGTTTCACGGTCGTGCTGACAGCCGCTGACAGCGCATTCCGCGAGCTAAGGTCAGCCTTCGGTAGTGTTGTGGGTATAGGCTTGTTGATGTCTCCATTGAAACCAAAAGTGCCATCAGCGCTGGCAGCGGCTGGCAGCGTGCCGTGAAACACCGCCCAGGTCAGGTCACAGACCCAAAAGACGGGAAAATCAGGACCTGTCAGAACCTCCTAAAGTAAGGCTGTAATACGTTTTTTTTTTGGGAATATTTGTTTCTGGTCCCTAAAAAGCTGTTTCTGGCACCTAATTGCTGATCAGCCCCAAAATGCTTATTCGACCCTAATATCTGAATCTGGCACCTAATTGCTTCCACACAGCCTAAAGTTGCCAGATCGTCTAGTTGAACTCCGTATTTGCTGTTTGCTGATTCAGCACCAAAACCAAAACATCCAGCACCTATTTTATTCCACGTTTGCCTACCTAATTCGCGT